TGCTGCGACTTCTTCTCTCAGAATGAACAATGCTTCAGCTGTACTGGAAAATGATTAATTTGCATTTTTAAATAAAAAGGTTTGTCAATGCGACAAATTTGGGTGCTACCGCGATTTCGAGACTGGACTAATAAAAGACGACGGTTTTTCCAATTGCTGAGGAGTTTTTATACCAAAGACCCGTGCCTCCTTATTAAGGCTTACAAATCTTTCATTCGCCCCATATTGGAGTACGGCACAACTATTTTCTATCCGCAGACCAAGAAGTCTATCTCAAGACTAGATGCCATTCAAAATAGTTTCACTAGGAAGGTGTTAATCCGGGCCTAGGTTTCAATTATAAGGCTATACCTAGGGGGGTCATAAGAAATAAAATGCTTGGCCTTGAGTCTCTTCAATGTAGGAGAAGGAAATTCGACCTTCTGACAGCATTCAATTTAAAATCATCACAGGGAGCATGGTTGTTGATAGGCAAGCTTTCATTACCCTTCTCCCGTCCACTACTAGAGGAGAGAGGCTAAAACCTCTTCTCCCTATGGCCAAGTCCTCCATAAGAGCAAAATTCTTCACTGTGCGGGCCTTCTCTGAGTTCGCTAAATTTAGCAAAAAGTACCCTTTCGCGAGTAGCACAGCTCAGCTGAAGTCATATATGCACGTTACTATGCTTAGGGCAATCAATCTTTTTTTTCTTAACAATTTTATCAGGCCATATTCGTTTTCAAGTTTATATTAGTCAATAGGTTGTGCTTTGATTGGTAGCTCTTTTTCTTACGATTCCTACTGAAAGCTTCGCTTTTTGTGTTCGAAGTAGGGTCTGGGCTTATAGACCTGTGAAGAAAAACTCTTGCCAGTGGATAGAGTTCCTAGGTCCATGCATTGCGCCAGTTTCGCGCCTCTAAACGAGTACTAAGACGTTAGGGGTTTGAAATTTGGATCCCTGTACATTCCACGTGGACCAGGCACGCACACCGCTTCGATGGCTTATCTATGTGTATCACTGATCTGCTATGCTCTCTTGTCTCGGAGATATTTTCCCCTCCGCGCTCACTCTATCCCTTATCTCGTTGTCTGCCGCTCGAATTTCTCCACAGCGTAGAGCGATGAAAAAGAGATCGCATTTTCGAAATTTTTGACGGTTTCTCATCCTCTCTCCTCCACTTGCTGTCCGCTTCGCATCTCTATCTTCGTATGCCAGTAAGATAACCACACCGATTTGATACGGTGCGTTACCCTTAATTAATTTGAATTTTTTGACAACTTGAGTCCTGAGCACAAAAATAAATAAACTTTATGGGCCATGAATGCATCCAGCGGGTGCATTGTATCCATTACCATCATTATGGCCTCCCTTACGGCGCTACGGCACTCTGTATTGATTATGAAAAATTAAGCATGGTATCTAATTGTAAGGTGTAGCTTGGAGTGTTGTTGCGGTTCAGAATTGAACAGCTCGGACTGGGAGACATGTAGCCATTTTTTTCTACCTGAAGAACAACATTTTTACTTGTTAGGAGATGGCAGGCACGCCCTGTGATCAAATTGTGGGTTAGCGTGCTTGATAATGAAAGTAGGAGTGCGAAGTGGACCGTCAGTTAAGAAAAAGGGAGAGAAATTGTAAAAAAAAACACAGGAAATACTAGGATTTTTGTTCTACGATGTACGAAGATGGCAGAGGCAAGATGAGCCATGGACGCAGAGGGAGAAAAAACTCCCAGAGTCGAAAAGAAAAATACAGGTCTGCGAGGGGGCATAGATGAAGTAATACCACGTTGGGCGCACGGACCAGCAGCTTTTCTTTTCTTAGATACCTGTTGCCAGAACGGCGACGTGTACATCATTGTACACGAACCTGCCCCTTTTGAGCCTTTTAAACTCATAACCCTTTTTGCTCGGACACATCGATGAAATATTTATCTTCATTCTGAGTTCGATAATTATTGTTATGGCAAATAGATTTGTGGATCCTGCATGAACAATGGAACAAAACGAATCGGAGGATATGGTCGTATCGTCAAATTTTGTGTAATGGCGCAGTGAGGTCTACAGGGGGGCCAAAAAAAGAGTCACTTTGAATATTTCCTAGGTGTCCCCCATAAGCAGAAGCAGCCCCTACTTCACTGCCCTCACGGTCTTCAGAATATGACGTCATCTGCCGTCGCCGTCAAGCTCAACGGGCTTACCGTAATCGCTCCGGCCTGAAGCTGCAACCTAATTTCTTCAATCGGTTAAAGGAATCTTGCGCGGAAAATTCTTGCACTCTTTCCTAACATGAATATGTCAGTTGTGATCACTGGAAATAGCACACAAAGTTTCACGCATGAAGATTCGGTTTCTGAAGAGAAACAAACGTACAAAAACTACACGTTATGGACCATCGAAGGACCAGGAGGCAGAGCCAGGCGAGGCATGGAAAGAAGACGGCGTTTGGCCGGCTACGTACCAGGCGACGCAATGAGAGAATCGGGTTAAAGCGCGCGATTTCGGAGAGTGGAGACAAATCGATCGATGGAATAGGATGGAGTAGAAGTGTAAGATGTGAATGCAACGAAGCAGAAGGCCAGAAAGAGCTTCTAGTGAATGCACTCCAAGAACCAAGTTTGAGCATCCCCGTCGCCAGCATTCGTGAAAGACGTCCGTGGGCAATTCGAACGCGTAGCAGCCTTTTCGAGTTTTCGAATTTCTAATCAAAACGAAAGCAATACTTCAGTTCTTTTCACTATTATCGTGGATAATGAGTCTCAAGCCAGTGATTTATGGCTGAAATAGAATCATGATTTTTCCGCGCAAGATTCCTTTAAGCGCTTTCCCAGAGACACTAGCTGTGACTGTGCAAGACCGCTTTTGACCGGCGTTTCAGGGACGTCGTAATGGTCTATGGTACCTCGACGACCTCGTTGAGCTCGTACCGTGAACCATGTTTCCGTGGGAAAATCTTCTGATGTCGTCGTGTAGAAGGCTGTCATGTAACCTTTTGATAGACTTGAATGTGCTCTTTAATATGCAATTGGGCTCATTTGATTTGTTTTTCGAGATTAATTGCTTTTTGAATGTGGAGAGAAGTGACTTTCTTTGGCTCCCCCTGTATATAGTGCCGAGAACGAAGCTAACGTCTAACTAATGGCAATTCTCGCAGATCTGCACTTTGATCGACCGACTTTAGAGGAACACAAGGTGAAAACAGAATCAAAAATGCCAAGGTAAAACCACGTCACAACCAGCAATAACATCAACTGCGACGTTATTTTACATTTGTGGGACCTTCGAGGTCTCCGTATATGCCTTGCAGGATTCCATTTTGAGGTGCGATCAAGTCTTTTTGAACCAAATCCACCCCGGAGTCAGTACTAGCGGCCTCGATTTGTGGCTTGCTCGGTCTCGCTGTCAATGAAGCTATGGATCCATTAGCAATCCCAAGTAACCAGTATGTTTCCATGACTCCTTTTCCCTGAAAGCGTGGCAGTTGCATGAGCTGAAGAAAGAGAATCGCGATGGGGCTCACCTTTATGATCACTTCTCCTCTTTTCTCAGTTCGAAATCCTCCAACGTCTTTCAGCAATTGATTGGCTTCTCTTGACATGTGTATCTTTCCGGCTAAACTGGTGCAGTGAAGATTTAATAGGCACTGGTTCATCTTCTCTTTAGCATTTCGTATATATTTGTTTATTTGTGTTTGTTTTTTAAATGCGTAAACAGCGTACTTGAATGCGTGCCCTAAGGATCAGATTGCTATGATTCTTGCACGCGAACACAAATGAATTGTAAGGATCCGTGGAAAACGCTGTTCCTCGTCTTCGGCTGTCTAAGGCAATGAGAGACTAAGCGCGGGGAGGAGAGTATGGAGCGAGAGAGTTCGTCAAACAGCAGCCTGATAAAGGAAAAATTGCAGCTGCTGCAGCTTCTTTGCAAGACCCTAGCACAACTTCTGCCTGGGTTGTGGCTTTATGGGCAGAGTGTCGCAGCTAAACAAGGTCATTTATAAATAAAATGCGATAATAAGTAGGGCCCATTTGGTTGGCAAGTGCACCTTCTTAGCGCCCTTCCACTAGATTTCTCAATATTTTCTTTCTTTTCAAAGCGAGAGGGTACGATAGTGTGTCTGCAAGCAAGGAAGTACATTCACCAATGGAAGCAGTAGTCAAGGGCCTGAGGAAAGCGAGATGTCGCCTTCTCGTGGCCAAATGCGCGCTAATTCTGCGCCCTGGTTCAATCCCCCTGAGCTCCGCCTCCGCCGCGTGTGCTCTACCTATTAGCAACGTCATTGTTCTTACCATTTGGATGAGATATTCCACTTCGGTGTGTATCCAATTAACTTTCTCGTGAATGCCTCGGTACTTCAAAGCATATATCTCTGCTGGAGATGATAGTGGGCTTGGTTTGATATTTGCCCACCGCATTCTCTACACAGCTGTAGTGCTGTCTATCGGCAAGTCCGGGCAAAGAAGGTTGTCCCATTTTGTGCTTCGTGACGGATACTATGCTATTTTCGCCAGAAGGGCGTAATTCAGCATTCCACTGTGAACCTAAAACAATCTTGTCGTAATCCCTTGCTTATAGCAGAGTTTCGTAGCGCTTGTTACATTTCGTCTTAAAGGCATGCCCCAGGATCGCACTGGTGTGGCTCTTGCACACGAATGTGAATGTATCGGTGCCAAGTGGGCCGGCAGTGAAGAAAAAAGGAAAAGAATCCGTCGAAAACGCTCAGGTTGAGGGCTCACTCACCTTCCTAATTGGCTGTGCTAAAGGAACGAGAGACTAAGCGCGAAGAGGAGAGTATGGGGCGAGAGAGCGCATCAGATGAGAGAGCACCAGACAACGGCCTGATAAGAGAGCTCGTTCGCTGCAGCTCGAGCAGCTTACTTTGCAAGCCCAAAGCGTTCTTGTCGGTCGAATTCCGTGCACGTGAACGCCACATTTGTGATTGTCCCCTAGGGTTCTATACTTCTGACCGAAGAGAAGAGTTATAAAAAACCTCTGCCTGGGTTGTGCCTTTAATGTAACCTTTTGCTGATTAGGTTGTTCAGGAGCGGTGCACTGTCACACGGTGAAGGCAAGCGGCATTCATTGCAGCCACTTTTTTTCTGGCGCGGGAATGGAGATGAGATTAATGTGAACGTGCAACCTTTACGTTTTCCATTGGTTTCCATTCGACTGGCGGTGTTCACGGTGTCTCCAAACAAGCAGTATCGAGGCATTGCGTGACCGACCACGCCGGCAACCACCGAACCTAAAGGTTATCTAAATATAAACAGTCGGGGTACGTCTGAAATTCTGTTGTTCTTATGCTCTGAAAGAGCTTGTCCTTCACTATTAGAACCGCCTTCTTACACATAAGCTGAAGGCACCGTTAATAGGAGAATGGATGAACTACCTCCCAATATGCCTGTGGATAAGGTATCCGCATTAAAGAACTGAACGACTATACGATGAGTGGTATCGACTGAATGATAGGATATATTCAAAGTTTACAAGTCCTTTTGAAATACAACGAAATGGTTAGAGGAAATTTCAGCTGTCATTTCAGAAACACAAAGCAAAGCACAAAGCAAGAACGACTGGTTACCATGGTCGCACCGCTAAATAGCCACGGAGTTCAGAGATTTTGCCCTAAACAATTAGTGATTACTACCAATTGTTTTTGAGATATTGCTAAAATAGTTTTTTTCAATGCTGGCTTTCCCCAAGAAAATCAATATCGACATGCTAGTTTGCACAGGGTCTGTTGTGGTCACAATAAACCCTTCAACAAGAATATAAGGTGAGGCACTGAAAAATTTCACCGATACCAGCGCATGGCCCACATCTCGACTGTTAAGTTTTTAATCTAACCCTAATGAACTGGGATTTCAAATCTTGTGAAGCCGGCCAGAACGGAAACTCTGATTTGTACTCGGCTTGCTCTGCAAACTTTCCTAGTGGAACACTCATTGCCCTGGCAAAATACCGAATGATAGTCGCATCAAGCGCCTTAGAAAGTACTGATCGACATCTAGCGTTTTCTTAGCGGGCCGAAGTTCAACATTTTCACACTCTGAAGGTATAATTACCAGATTTTCCGAAATTTTCGCATAACCACAATAAGTGTGAGTTTCGAAAAACAGTTTCCTACCTGTATGTACTCCTATCCTCAGATTAAGTCGTTCTTCCGGTAGGTAAGGTATACGAAAATCGGTCAGAGCTTTCATGAAGCCCAGTGACATACTGCAAATTTCCTTGATGTGATTTCGTCCATTCCGACGAGGCACGCCACTGACACATAGGTACGCATCGCCAATTGTTTCAACCTTAAAGACAGCACTCGTGACAAAAACTGGGCAATAGTTTTCCTTTTTTGTTTTGTTATATTTCAATTCTCTACTACTTCTACTTCAACGCTTTCAAAACGTTTTAAAGTCCTCAATAAAGCTTGAATTTAGCATGGAAAAATTTGATCATAACAGTCCCCTCCCAGCAGCTTTAATGATCTCACCTTGTAGACATCGTGATCGTCTATTATACTGTCAAATGTCGTGTAGACAAGATTGAGGAGGTTTACAACCTGAAAAATGGAAGTTTTGGAGAGAAGCCGAGTGACTTACTGTAGCACTATTTTCAGGTACCTGTAGTGGTGAACCTTTTGCAGCGATAGTTGTGAAAGAAACAACATCCGAAAAGAAGACTGTTGCCGACTCATACATTTCCGGTTCTACCGCCTGTCCGAGTTTGAGGTGATCAGCCACTTGCCTAAATTGTTCAAATTTTGGAAATAGTTGACGAAGTTCCCCCTCGACTCTAAAAAATATAGTTTGAAAGCAGGATCGATGGTCCTTGGATAAGAACTCAATGGTCAGTGTCGGGAGAGGATGGAAGGTGGTAAGGTAAGGTGGAGTCGAACTGAAGCGATCGGAGTTCTAGAGTTACTCTTCAAGAGCTTCAAGGAATTCTGTGATAAATGCCTTTTTTCCTGTCTTACATACAGGGGAGATGAACGGGGGATGTAAACCAGCGCGAAACAGTTTTGTTGTGACCACTCATTCACAGGATATACGGTCGGAGTCGAGCTGAATGCCGCTACTTGAGTGTTATGATGCAAATAAGAGATTGCTTTCATTCTGCCCCTTTTCCTCGCCCCTTCCGCTCCAGAGGGGAGCGGTTTCCCGCTCGTAAATCTCCAACACCTCCACCCGACGCGACGGGTTTATGGAGAACTGCTAACTTGGGAAGAGTACGATAACGAATATAGAACACAAAATAAGGTCTAAAGAGACGTCATGCCATCACGACCCTGTTTGGAAATCAGTGGCTGTAAAATTACTGTGGAAGCATTCTGTAGAGCAGCAGATCGCTTTTCTTCTTTTCTTCCACCAGCTCTTTTGTTCTTTCCTCGACTTCATCCTCCAGACTAGACGCATAATTTTCCATTATATGGAATACGTAATCCATGAGATTTTTGTCTCT